TGTATAAACCCCTCAGTGTCACACTGCTGAGGTAGAGCAGAGTTCAGGGTGAAGTCTGGGTGTTGGTGTGTATAAACCCCTCAGTGTTACACTGCAGAGGTAGAGCAGAGTTCAGGGGGAAGTCTGGGTGTTGGTGTGTATAAATCTCACAATGTCATAATGCTGAGTTCCTCGGCACTCCCCACTACCTGAGCTGAAGAGAGTTAGACTGATGCACTGAATCAGGGGCCACAGTTTCACACCGTGTTTCTCCGTGTGCGATACAGAGAGGTGCCCAGGTCCAGAGCTCTGTCTGGCTGCAGCTCGGTTCTCCAGCCACCAGGCGTCCATCAGCCTGGTCTCGACAACAGTGCGAGGAATCAGTTTGACAGCAAGAGCCAGTACAAGGGCATCGCGAATGGCTGGAGCTATCCAGTCACCTGTAACTTAAGACAAGGTTTCTGATCCCGTATTGTAACTTAATTGACTTTTGAAGGCAAAACACCGTGCCCCTTTTCTGCCATGAATGACTCAGCCCAGGATCTCTCTACCCTGAGACAGCAGTGGCCCCTTTCTGTCTGGGACCTTGTTAAACCTGGATGAGACCGCCTGATAGCAGTCATTCGATACAGGGATGCAACATCTTATTGCTATTGCTGTCGGTGGATTCAGCCATTTATTTTTATCCTTATTTCAGCAAACGTGTGTGTGTGTGTGGGAACTGTGTTCCACTGCACCGTACTTACTTAGTGTCACCCTGATTACTTACTGTCTGCACTGGAGCTGTTTCTCTCGTCTGCTGTACGAGGGACGCGTATATGTTAGCTGGCCTCGGGCTTTTTTGAAATCAGATCTGAGAGAGGTTTTTTCGTAGCCACAGTCCCACAAACTACGCTGGGGAAACCTCAGACAGCAGCGGGTTAAAAAAAGTGCTTTGTCACGCTGCGAGAATAAAAATTTCCCCGTGCCTTGATGCCAGTGTTGCAGACGAGAGAGGCACAGAGGACAAGTCTGGCTTTTAGTGTTTCTTGCCTGTTGAATAAAGAGCTGACGTTCCAGCTCGGCGGACTGTGCCAGATCCAACTCCGGAAGGTCGGGGGCTTTGCCAAGGATTGGCGCGCGACTGAAATTTTGAGACTGGAACGCTGAACGTTGAAGGTGAGAAGGATTTTTTTTTTTGTTGTTGGCAGAAGCAAAAAGTTGAGCCTAGGAGCAGGGTGATACAGTAAACATGCAGTAAACAGCTAGCTCAACGGTGGCACAAAACTGCTCCATAGAGCATGGAAATCTGAAATTTGTACACATGAAAAACCACACCCCTGGTAGACCACGCACCTGATAGACCACGCGCCTGGGATTCCACACCCCTGGTAGACCACGCACCTGGGATTCCACGCATCTGATAGACCACATACCTGGGA